CTTTTGTTTTTATACAACTGTAACTGCTTTTTCTCTTTTGCAATTCACTTTCCCTGACCTCAGTCCTCTCATTTTCCTCTCCCTACCTCTTGCAGCCATATGGGCCTGCCATTTCTTTTCCTGCGCCTTTGAGCCAGTTCCGACTCCTGGCAAATATGCAGACAAGCCCATGCAATTTTCTTGGCAAATTTTTGCAAGTGATTTGCCATTGCCTCCTTCTGAGGGCTGAGAGAGAGGGGGGGGGGGAGGGAGGGAGACCCGCCAAAGTCACCCAGCTGGCTTCGTGCCTAAGGCAGGACTAGAACTCACCATCTCCTGCTTTCTAGCATGGGCCTTTAACCACCAAACTGGCTCTTGCCATCTTGTATGGTGTACTTTATTCCACCAAAAGTTACACCTGCAAAGGCCCCTGAACAGGGCAGTGTTAATGACTACATAAAAAAAGCAAGTGAATTCAGTTCAGGGCCCAAGTGGCAGATACAGCTTCCTGATATAACTCAGCACTTTCAAGCCAGAGTTTCACATTCAGTATTCGAGGCTAGTTGCATTAAGCTGTCCTGGCAGATGACCGCGTTCTACATTTCAGGATACGGCCATTCCGACATCCACTGATGCTTTTGTGTGGAGATCTGCTCAGAATGCAGAAGACTCTGGAAGATAAGCTGGAAAGCAAAACTTTGGGTGTGATCGACAGTATTGGATCGCTTGTTGTCAGAGCAGATGCAGAGAGAGGCACGGTCTGAGATGTTTGCCTTATTCTGGTTTTGTATTCTGTGGTCTGCAGTTACAGGTCAGGGGCCATTTTAAACAGGGACATTGTCAGAGAGAAGCAAAGCAAAGCAGCTTTAACCTCCCTTTCTTTCCTAGGGATGTTTGAATTGTATATAAATAATGATATGGATGCACTTATATGTCATGCGTGTGGGTATGACTATGCTGTCCAAGGATGTTGGGTGTTATAGTCCAGCGCATGAGGAAGGCAGTCAGCAGGGAAAAGCTGCTGTGTGCTGTAAGTCTACAATCCTATACCCACTTTTACGATGCCATTGAATGAAACAGTCCTTGTTATAGTCATGTCACAAAATGTCCATGCAGTCACCAGGTCAACCCCGGACTCAAGGGCGTCTTTATCTGAGAGCTTTGTTATAGTCACAGCAGCGTTTTCCTCTTCCCTTCTGTAACCTTTCCAAAATCTTGAGAGATGAATCGTTGTGCTCCCCCGTGTGGCCAAAGGAAAAAATAGTCTCCGTTCGCGCAACATGAAAAAAAGACAGGGTGACAAATAAATAAATTAAAATGCCCTGTTTGAAGATCAACTTTGGAGCATCCCATTGTCAATACCTCAAGAATAACATCTGACATCTTGTAACAAATGCCCACACCAAATCTGGAGCCAGAAAAGAGAAATGGAGGGGAGAAAAAAGGCAAGTCCTGGATCGGTGCTGGTGTATTCATTTCTCACAGACGGAAGTTTCTGCCATAGTAAGTTCATGAGTCTTTAAGGTGTTAGGGAACTCTACTACAATGATCTAACAGGCAGCTACCTCTTTGGGAAAGAATGAGAAAAATTATTTTAAATCTTGTTAACGTTTAAGAGTGCGACCAGAAGTAATATGCAATTTTTGGCTTCTGGGGGAGGAATGGTGGATTGAAGATGTCTCTGTGAAAGTGGAGCCGACAATCGTGGCAAAGACCAAGGAACCAGTGAGTAGACCAGTTCCTTGGAACATCTCTGGATAGGAGCAGATGGAAGATCGCCCATTTGTCTCTGGACGGCTGTCCCCTGCGAGGAGACCTCAGGACAGCAGTCCTCCATGGATGTGAGTGCTGGGAGACAACGGGAATAGCCATCTTGCTCACAACCACAGTCAGTGCCTTTTAAAGGACACTAACCTCACTTTCTAATCACTTTCAGAAATTGCTTATTAACTACTTTTAAGCTATTAGAGACCTTTGGAACAACAAGTTTGAAAATGCTGGGTGAGTTTGCCCTCACTCCTGAATGAAAGAAAATTTTAATCATAACCTTAAGGATTTAAAGAATTTGAAATAAACAGCAAAAAGCTAAATAAGATTTTGATCTTAGAAAGTTATAAACGGACTACATTTTGTGCTAATTAACTGGGACCTACAAAATGGTACAAAATGTTATAACATTGAAAGTATTAAAAGAAACTTTTGAAGAATGGAGCCAGAAATTAGTAGCCACAATATCAACAGTGTTAGTCATGATGTCTGCCTCTATGGATAGACTATGTCCAAAAGATGTTATTGAAGAAATGACAGATGTGGAACAAATTTTATCTGACAAGATAGAGATGGTACCGAAAATAGATTTACATATGAGAGGCCAAAAGAATGACTTGGAAAAGGATGTCTCACTGAATATATAAAATAAACTGGGTTATGTTTTAAAAATCAAAAGAGAAATACAAATGATAAACCAAAAAAGTGACCTGATAATTTTTTCTTATTGGATTTACTAAAGAGGTTTGTTAAAAACCTGAAGAACTCTTTGCGATGGGATAAAGAAGAAATGAAGAGAAATCAAATCCTATGACAATATTTGAGGGAGCTAAAGATTAAGGCTGCTAGAAGTAAAAGGAAGGAATATAAAGTTAGTTTATTTGATCAAGGTTAAAATAAGATAAGTTGTTACTTCTGGCAACCCTTTATAGACTTTCAGCTGACACCAGGACTGAAAAGATTGTTTTATGGATTTGCCTATAGATAAGGGATGGGATATGAGATGAAGAGATAATTTTTGTACCCTTAGAGGGAGTGAATAGTCACTAAATTTGTTTATACTTGTGATGAAGGTTGGAAGTCACTTCTTTACATATTTCTTTTCTCTTTATTATATCATTTTTCTCTTTCTTCTCTCTTTTTTCCTTTTTCCTTGCACTTTTTACTCTTTTTTCTCTTCACTTTGTATTAGATTTTACTGCTATAATCAAAATTCTTGATGAAAAATTTATACACATACACACACACTGTATAAAGAAAGTAATATGCAATTTTTAGCAGGAATTTATTCTGAGTGTCCAATTCATTCGTGTAATATTTTGCATCTATGATTGGGGGTTTTTTTTCCACGTGGAGCTTTTTGTTAAATGTGGAAAATCCTGCAGGAAGAAAATGGGGGGGATGCAAAAATAAAGAACAGGCGAAACATAAAGAAAATAGTTATCCTTCCCGCCCCGGTCAAAAAAGTAAAAAGAGTATCTTTTCACTCCTCGTTGCCCTGTAATCTCTCCAAATAAGACAGTATTACAAGGGCATTTAAATTTGTAGTCCTCCTATAGTAAAGTTCGACATGGTTAGCAAACAAAACGGAAAAAGTCCCCCACCCAAATTATACAACAATTTAAATGCAGTTAAAAAACAGCATGCAAAATCATTAATCCTTCCGACATGAAAATTACTCCTGACGTTTGGGAGCGACGCTTTGGACCTGGCTGGAAGCCTCCGCGCGGATTAACTGCGCAAACCTTGAACCGTCTCCTGCGCTCCGCCGAGCCTTTTCCTCCCCGCTGGTGGCAGGGCCGAGGAGCGCCCCCTGGCGACGGAGCCGATGAACGAACCGCCGGCCGCACCAGGACCGCGAGCGCGGGGGCCCGGGAGGGCGGAGCCGGGGGTGCGGCATAAGGAGCCGGAAAGCAGCGGCGGTAGCCGGGCGCTGGGACTGGGAAGGCAGGAGAGCGAGCGAGGGAGCGGGCGGGCTGCGATGCTTTGGGGCCGGCCGGGCTAGCAGGCAGCGCGTTGTGTGCGGGTCGGTCGGTCACTCACTCAGCAGCGAGGGCGCCGGCCGTCATGGAGAACCAGCTGGCGCGCTGCAAGATCGTGGTGGTTGGCGACAGCCAGTGCGGCAAGACGGCGCTGCTGCACGTTTTCGCCAAGGACGCCTACCCCGAGGTAGGGCAGCGGGGCAAGGCGGGAGGGGTGCAGGCGGCCCGGGGGGGGGGAACCGGAGGGGAGCTCGAAGAAGAGCGAGAGGAGCGGACGGAGGCCGTCCGAAAGGATGGGGCGGGGAGGGCTCGGTCCAAAGAGACCGCGCTGCGGAGGTCACATTGTGGACCGGAGAAGTGGATTCGGAGGGAAGCAGCGATGGAAGTGGGTGAGGGCGACTGTCTGGGTGTGCAGGCGGCGCGTGGAAAGTGCTCTTGGCGCGGGCTGCGGTGGGCACGGAACCTGGGTCCCAGCCGGGAGGTCCAGCGGTGGGGCTGAGCATAAGCGAGCCCCATGATCGTGGACTACTTTAGGGAGGACTCGCAAGCTGCGGGGTTGGAGCTGAGGAAGGAGGCAGCGGTTGAAGACCCGGTTTCAAGGTGGACTGGGGAGCCAAGGCAAAAGAGAGAGGGGAAGTGGTGGGTGAAGTGTATGGACCCTGGTGCAGGAGGGAAAGCAGGGGCTGGGTGGGATTTCTTGATGAAGGGGAGAGGTTCAAAGGTGCTTTCTGGTGGAGGGGGGTGAAGGACAGGAACCAGGTCTGCTCTGGGAAAATTAGAAGGAAACTCTAGGAGTGGAAAGGGAGCATTAGGTCATGCAGTAATGGGGCACTGTTCTGTGGATAATGCTGAGGACTGAAAAAAAAAAGCCTTGGTCTCTTCAGGAAGCTCTGGAATCTAGTATCAGTTCCCAGCCCTTCTAGAGCACTGCCTGTGAGCAGTCGCTTTCATCCTCAGGTAACTCATGAGTAAGCAAACTGCTGCCTCCAGGTAGTTTGGATTACTGCTCCCATCAGCTTTCTCCAGCAAAGGAGCCTTGGGAATGTTAGCCCCACACATCTGGAGGGCATGGTGTTGCTTACGCCTGCATTTAGTCCTCCCAGCCAGAGCCTGTTTGTGTCACGTCGAGTAGAGTAAGGGCGCCAGAATGGCTACTTTCAAGAGGGGTTCCTGCTGAGGGGTCTCAAAAATAGAGTGGGGGAGTCTGATGGAAGTAGGCTCCCATTTCTGCCAGTGCTGTATCTGATGCTCGATCATGCATTCTGTTCCCTCCTTCCTGTCCCTTCCCTGCAGAATTATGTCCCCACTGTATTTGAGAACTACACTGCCAGTTTTGAGATTGAGAAGCAGCGCATTGAGCTTAACATGTGGGACACTTCAGGTAAGTGAGGAGTAAGGAGGGGGTTGCCTTTGGAAAGGCTGGGGTTTAAACTCTAGCTGCGGTGGCCATTAGAAGTTGGGGACTTGGAAAATATACATAAGAGGATTCTACCTGCCCAAATCTATCTATCTATCTTCCTTCCTTCCATCCATCCATCCATCCATCTTTTCATTCAGAAGCTCAACAGAGCTCCCTCATAGTTTTTTTTCCCCAACACAACAATCCTGTGAGGTAGACTGGGCAGAGAGAGGGCGACTGGCTAATGGTAGACTTGAATCTGGGTCCGCCAGTGCCAATCTCTGTAATGTACTTTGCTATTATTGTTGGTCAGACAATCGGCCAGATGTTTAGACTTAATTCAGCATTTTTATCCACCTGTCGAGTCCTTCCCAAGGACCTGGGATAGGCAGATGTTGTTGTTCGATGGTGTTAAAGGTATTGTCATAGGGTGTAAGGTGTTCCAAGTAAAGCTGCCTTTTGCAATTGACTGATGGTGATTTTATCAATGCTGATGGTC